TCTTTTCTCTTCCATCTACGTTTCGTGTGCAACCAACCTCCACTGATCTGACAAAAAAGGGCCGTCTGGGAGGGGGGGGGTGTTATAAAAAGGACCGACAGTGTGGATGTACTGGTTGGTTTTACAGCGTTAGTAGAGCTGATGATGTCATCTAGTACAACGACTCTCTGACACAACATGACACCCCTAGAACACAGAACAGCCCGTGAAAACGGCCACGGCATAAATAAAGCCGACACGAAATCTTGGATATCGTGGCTGGCGAGATCAGAGGGCGAAAAGCTAAGATACCCTTCTCGCGAGTGAGTGAGATTCAGTCCCATTAGGATATCTTGAGATGCGGGCATGTTCAGGATAGGTACCCATCGGGATGGCGGCCTTAGTTTAATAAATGCACGGGGTCGGATGACCTTACATCCCGTATTCACCGGGACAGTCCCGTTCCAGTTTTTTTTTTCTCGGTCTGTCCCGGTTATCCTCCAAAAACAAAAACAACATAGTTTTAGATTTTGTTTTTAAATGCTTTATATGTATGGTGACCATGCGTTCCGTTTTCACCAGGACTTTTCGGGTTTTTAAGTCTGCCCCTGGCCGTCCCATCGGTATTCCAAAGAAACTGCCAGCTTTTCGATTTATTGGAGGAGGGGAATAGAATAAGTTCCTAAAATATATTGGTTATTAAAACCATGAACGACCTGTCCCTAGGGTGGCTGGCGAGATCAGAGGGCGAAAAGCTAAGATACCCTTCTCGCGAGTGAGTGAGATTCAGTCCCACTAGGATATCCACCAAGCGATAAACACCTGGTGACACAAAGTGCCATTATGCGGATGAGGATCTCCGGGAAGACGTATCAGAAACCCTGTTCAATATTAGGTTATATTAGGACCCATGGTGACAGCCGGGGTAGGGCATTACAAATAACGAAAAATTGCGTCCCATATTGAGACGGCTGCCTTTCTAACTGGAAACTGGATGAATAAAACAAAAATTTCAAACTTGGTCCTCTTTCAGCTGCCTCAAGGCCTGCTTTATTTTTAAACGTCGCTCACGTCACCCCTTAGAGATCTACATACTCTCCATTCCTCGTTTGTGTAGTCCACTTGTGTTTGAAAAAGGCTGCCTGGCCGAAACGTTACGTTGTGTTGTTTTGTGCACGTTTTCCTATTTCCCATTTTGTTGAGCTTTTTAGTCAAATTTCTCTGGAATTCAACTTATTGAGGACGGTTTCTTTGCGGTTTGATTTTGGTTTGTTTCCTTGTGGCAAAAAATTTTTCGCCTAATTTTGAGTGTTTGCTGCTGCGTCTTGTCTGCTCGATAAGGCTTGGCTGGTGTAGTCCGGCTTTTTGGGAGTGGATGGGGGCAGCCCTAAGAAGGGCTGTTATATGCCTGGGGCGGCCTGCAACGGGATGGGCGGGGTCTTATCTTGGCTGTCTATCTGGCTGGCGGTTGTTGTTTGGGCTGTTCGTGAAGATGGCGGCTTGTTTGGTGGGCTCTTTTTGTGGCTTTTTAGAATTGGCGGTAGCCTCTAAAAATGGGTGTACCGTGATTCCACTGCTTTTTCTTTTGATCGCGAAGTTGATTCAGGGCTGCGTTGATTTCGTCATAGAGTTTTTCGCGCCTTTCTATTTCTTCTGGTGTTTGGTCTTTCTTTTCGAGCTCTTCCCATTTGTATCCGATACAGTAGCGGCCGCTTTCGTCGTCATTCACCAGCTTGTGAGGGTCCACTTGCTCGTTGAAATCTTTAAGCATCGCCTGAAGGTCGGCCTTGCAAGTTACATCGGATGCTGCTTTCTGGCTTCCGCGTGGGGTGTCTGGCTGCCTGGTAGCTGTTTCATCGCTTGGTTCTTCGATTTTCGTGGGATCTGTCATCTGTGCCTGGTGCTTTATCATTAACTCTTCGGTAACTGTGCTTTTGTCGGCCCTGCTGACATTTTGTTTCTTGGCGGCTCTCTCTCTCTTTTTCGCTCTGTAGGCGGGCATGCTCTGATCTGGCTGTCATCTCGGCCGCTTCTGCTTCTGATTTAGCCTGGATCAGTCGGGTGACTTCTCTGTAGGTTTCCTCCCTCGCCTCTTTCAACACGGCAATCTCTCTGCTTCTCTCCTCCATTTCTTCTTGTCTGCGTTTCTCGTCTGCTGCCTGTGCCACTGCCAAGCTTGCAATCAATGCCTTGATGTTTATAGTCTCTGCATCTTGTTTCTTACTTTCGAGCTGTTGTGCTGCATATGCTTTTCTGTAATCTTTTAGGGCTTTAATCTCCCCCAGAATCAGGGAGATTAGCTCGTGTGTTTCTGCTTTGTCGGCGGTGGCAATGGCTATCTGCTGCTGTAACTTGGCATATAGTTCCGAGATCACACGTATAAGTTCAGGCTGGTTACTCGGCTGGTTGGTGCTAGTCGGGCTGGTTGGTCTGGGTGCCCGGTACCTTTTTGCCGAGTCTGGGCGTACGGAACTGGGTACCCCTCTCTTAATGTCTTTGAGGAACTGTCATCCCAGATACCTCGCGATGTGAGCGCCTGTGCAGTTCGAACACCGTCTGTTGTTGTTCGGCCTCCTAATGTCCTGGTCGATTTTTGCCAGGGAGCACGCTTTGAATTCGTGGGCCCCCGAACAGTATCGACAAATAGGGCCGCTGCGACAGGTCGCGGCAGTGTGCCAAGCCCTATTGCAGCGTGAGCACTGCATGATGTCTGGGGTTTTGGTCTCAGGCTGCTGCTGTTTGTGTAGGCGTGGGGGTCCTTTCGTCGCTACTGAGGCGGCTTCATGCGTCACTGAAAGGGCGGCTCCCGAGGGAGCGGCCCTTTGTACTGGTGATCCTGTTTTTTCAGTCGTCCTAAGCGTAGTTTCCATTTTCTATGGTGATTGGTATAGTTCACGATTGTTTTTAGAGGTTTAATGCACGCCCTGAGTCACGGTTTATAAAGTTATAATGTAGATTATAATTACCTAGGGCGTTGTTCCTTCCTCTGGTGATTCTTGGCTACACTGGTCACCTGTGTAGATCTTGTTGCTGGCAGTTATCGTTTTGCTAGGTACGTACATGGGCTGCTAATGACCCAAACGCAGCCGACCCCGATAGCTTAGTCAAGACAGACTCAGCCGAATGTCAAGCGAATCAGTGTCCAGTAGCTAGATATCGAGAATCAGGCAACGAATGGATAGTTAGCGGGCGACGTGGCGAGGCGGGCTGCTTACTAGGGCGTTCAACGTGTTGCTCGTGTGAAGGGCTGTCAGCCCTTCTAATGCTGGACAAGGCCTTTTATAACCTTCAGCAACATGCCAGATCTATTTTGCAAGTGCAGAAAAACACAATTATTAACAGGCTAAAGTGCGTTCATACCTTGGTATACAACTAATGTAATGGTCAATGACTGCCTCTAAATATTAACAACATAGGACGGAGAACTACAGACAGGGGCACACAAACAAACTACGAGGGAATCCAGAGGACCACCAACTAACTTAAGAAGACCGAGAACCAGCCATAAAGAAGACCTTCAGATAGGGGCATACACTTCAGGGCACCACAAAACAGACAAGGGAAAGAGGATGATGACAGCTTGATATGGGTGGGCAAGGGGGCATATAAATAAACTGCAGGGGACCCTCGACCACTCACCGTTCTTATTATATTGCTATAAGCTTGTTTAAGGGACGTAGACAAGTACCCCACTAGCCAACAAGAAGAAGATGATGAGGAGAACTGTGGGTAAAGAGAATGGACATATGCACAAGAGGACCCCCGAGGCCACACGGGGATCTTGCTGGTAGCGGTGATTATAGATGGGGGGGGGGGGTCTATAGTTCTGAAGTGGATAGATGAAAACAGCCACCGGGGGAATTAACTGTCTCATTTTCAGCCCGTCCTGCAGAAGTTTCAAAATGAACAAACGAGACATGAGTAGATTTCAGTCATTATTACGTCAACATTCTAGGTACTTGTGTGAATAAACTGTCTGGGATTTGCAGAAGGGCAAGGGAATGAACGATATAATTTTATGGCTTCAAAATCAATAGCTATAGTTAACACTAGTATTGGACAGGAGAAACATTCTGAAAAATCAGTTATGAATAAATGCTGATAGAAGACACTAGGTTAGATGGAATAACATGTGAAAGTACATGTGAACTAACTTGGAATTATTTAAGGATCCGATATTAGATATGCTGTTTCGCGGCTTGTGAAACTTATTACAGAAAGAGAGGGAGGGGGGGGGGGGAAGTAACGAGAGACGATTCTTGGCTCCTCTTTGATATCGCGTGGAAGGGTGCCAGCACTTGAACGGATTAATAAATGCCATTGGAGATTGCAATACGTCAGTCGCCCAGGCCAGTTAGCAAGGCACTTGATGATGCTGATAATCAAAGCCATGTTTTCCTGTTGTGAATTTGAACAAAGAAGACACAAACAATACATTGCACAATATATTGCCTGGCATATTTCGCTGTATCTCGTCAGGTGCTAGTCTGTAGTATCTTTAGTATGCACCTGACGAGATACAGCGAAATATGCCATGCAGTTAACTATGCTACGATGATGGCCTGCAATTACAGCCCAAAACGATGATGGGTGTGACAAGCACGACCAGTAGCTGTTAAGAAATCTTCCGCAATATATCCCCCAGGGGTGGGGGAGGGGAGAGAGAGAGAGAGAGAGAGAGAGAGAGAGAGAGAGAGAGAGAGAGAGAGAGAGAGAGAGAGAGAGAGAGAAAGAGAGAGAGAGAGAAAACAATCTTTAAACTGACTTGGACTACCAGGTTGCCAAGTCTGGGTTACATGACATAAGTTCATGGCCACCATTGTGATATCACCACAGCAGTATCGAATGCCAATTAAGTATACAAAATAAACGGCTAGCATAATATGCCCAGTGGCAATAAGTCGTCGACAACGCCTTCTCTAATAAATAGAGTAGGCCGTGGTCGGTGAGAATTAACACATCTTGAACTAAGTGTTTCGTTTCCTATTCCGGCCCTACTTTTACACAATACTCGCTCAAAAATGGCATCCAAGGCACATATACTTGATACTCGGGCGGAACTCGATGAGCTTGTTCGAAGAAGAGCTGAAATTGCGGTGAGTGAGAGCAATGTTCAATCATCCGTAATTGATAGTTGTTTAGTTTTATCTTCCTAAAATAAGAGCAGTACCCTCCTTTTCTTATCATATTTAAATAAATATATATAAATAATTTATATTCCCGCCGCCCTGTCCTTGCGAACGTACAGTACAGTACACACAACAGTCAACACGGTACAATATCAATATAATAATATTAATTATTTACTTTAACTTTAACGATCACAGTAATCACACATTTCATTACATTTAATTTTTTTATTTCTGGTATTCAATTCTCATTTTCGTATCTCTTGAATGATGCAGAAAAATGAGGGTAGGTCAGTGAATTTTTAATACAATCACATTGATTATTGATACCTCGTACTCTTATCCATCCTCAATCTATTCAGGTTCCAGATAATTGGCCTTATACACTATCACTATACCAGACTGCGTATAAGTAGGGATGCTATGCAGCTATCGTTATCATATAGACGCTATGCTAGGCGACCATTTGAGTTGACCATTAAATTCCGTCTTCCAAATCTGCGTGCACGGCACGAACCTATTGCTACCATGAACAATTCCGAAAATTGACACCTGTCTGATATATTTATTATTTTATTTTTAAATCTCGAAACAAGTATTAGGAGTTATTTAACTGTTAACCCACACGGTTTTCTGTTTTTAGTTTGGTGTTTACTTTACAGTTTCATATGTTTGCCGAAAGGGTATATACAGGTGGCTCTCCTGTAAACTACGGCCAGTAGACAACAGTAGACGGCCGGTTAGTCGAAGTTCTGTCCCCTGGCTGCAGTGCTATTACGGACTGGACAGGAGGAAACAAAACAAATGACATAATTACTGTGTGTTGGCGATAGACAGCATGCACTGCCCTGCTATGATCATAGGGTTAGGGGTAGGGTTTGGGTTAGGGTGTGGGTTAGGGTTATGGTTAGTGTCGCCGCATCTCCTCTCCGCACAAACACAAAGTAGCAAACCCTAACCCTAACCCTGAACTTAACCCGAACCCTAACCCTATCCCTAAACCTAACCCACACCCTACCCCTAACCCAAACCCTAATCTTATGAGGACAGTAGGGCACTGCATGCTGTCTATCGCCAACACATAGTAATTATGTCACTTTTTTTGTTCCCTCTAATCCACTCCGTAATGCGTCGCAAGAAGTGGTAATAGAACGCGGTCGCTAATTTGAATCGCAGCGCGGTGTCTGCAAGGCATGTCGACCTCACTTTGTTTTTTTATTCGTGCCTTCTCCAGTCCGTAATTGCACTGCAGCCAGGGGACAGAACTCCGACTAACCGGCCGTCTACTGTTGTCTACCGGCCGTAGTTGACAGGAGAGCCATACAGGTTTGTCAGCATCAGTATTGGCTATCCTCCAAATAACGGGGACATATTATGGTGGCCAAAAACAGGGCCTCAGTCACATGTAAATTGCGAACTTCCGGCGACTTAATTTGCAGACTTACCGTGACTACCGCCACCGCCGAGAGTATCCCGAATGCCACGCCGCATGAGCGGCGTGGGGATACTCTCGGCGGTGGCGGAAGTCGCCAGAAGTGTGCAATTTAAGATGACGGAAGTGTGCAATTGACACGTGACTGAGGCCTTGTTAGGGTATATTTTTGGCCTCGATAATTTGGGACCGTTATTTGGAGCCTACAGAACCACCTAAATCAAATTAGGAACAAAGGGAAGGAATATAATATGAAAATAAACACTACGAAGTCAGAGACAGTGATGATAGGAAGACATAAAGACAATTTAGAAATAAAATTAAAAAACAACACCCTGAGACAAACAGAGGAATTTAAATATTTGGGAGCAATTTTCACATCCGACGGAAAACTGGACAGAGAAATTAGCTCCAGATATACCAAAGCTAATTAAGTAATGGGGCAACTGTTTCCCCTGTTGACACACAAGCAGATACGTCAGAGTACTAAAGTGAATCTTATCAGAACTATTTTTTGGCTAATGCTATGCTATCAATGCCATACTTGGACACTTACATCCTCCAATGAACGTAAAATTGTTACAACAGAAATGAAATGCCTTAGAAGAGCTGCAGGAGTTTCAAGGAAAGACAGAATACGAAATCATGAAATCAGACGAATGCTAGGAATAAAGCCAGTCTCACAGGTCATCAAAGAACAAAAATGAAGTGGTTTGGACACCTAACAAGAATGCCCTGGTACTATCTGCCACAGCGAGCCACACTAAAACGTTACAAGGGGATGGAGCGAGTGGAGTGATGGCATTAAGAACAGCCTTATAGAAATGAACATCAGTCTTAAAAGTGCTCTTGACAGAGCTCATCAACGTACATTACATCTTTCCCCGACACTTCGATTGAGGTACAAGGTGGAAGAGAAGAAGAAGAAGATTCGGAGGATAGCCAAAATGTATACTTTGATTATATTTTTTAATTTAACATGACTTAAGACATTTTAAAGGTCAGTTTTTCTCACGTCTATTATTTGTCACTAAGCTTTCCATCATTATCCTGCCATGACAGTCTTGGCCAGTGCATATTTTTAAAAATAATTATTAATCTCAAATTATAGCAGAGTGGTTACCATTATTATAAATAATTATGAGCCTTGTTAGCGCAGTCGATAGGAGGCTTGCTTTCAAATCCAGCTGTCCCCCGTGTGGGTTCCGGGGCCCCATTGTGGGGAAAACAAGAATAGATCCACTGCCTCCCAAAAAGCATGTCGTAAGAGTCGACTAATTGGGGAGCTTCCTTTGAAGTCGGAGTGCATCTGCCGGAGAGGCAAGGAACCAACAGTCTGTATTCAAGAGAATGAGATCTGTAAAACTGATGCACACGCAACACTCAGGTTCTGGAGCAGGACTGCAGTTCAGTAGTGGACGAGCAACCAGAACCTTCCGCCAGAGTTTACAGCTGGTGAACGCGAAGAAGAAGAAGAAATCCAGCTGTGACTCGCTGCAGCCACGGTCGATGTTCGAAACTAGGTGGTTTCCAGGGGTTCACCCAGCCTCTAGGAAATGGGTACCAGAGTTGACACTCTGGTGTAAATGGAGGAACGTCGCTGTAGCTACAGTGTTACGTGCGGACAGCGACACAGGCGGACAGTTTTTTATCAGCATTCGGTACTGGTGACAGAGCACTTATGGTTTATAACTATGTGCAATGATGCTGGTTCACATCTCTTGACTTTACTTTACATTTGTATTTTTTCAGTCTACAACCACTATAAATTTGTTCCAGCATCTATCATAATTTCCTCTTTTGATTTACCAGTTTGAAAACTGTTTTTCTGATCACTACCAAACCCATGTTGTGAATTTCACTAAACATAGCAACATTGACTAGTAATATTTAGTAATTAAGTTTAAAAGCCTACTGTGCTTCTGCCTGCATGATGCTGTCCACATCACCCATTGAGTGCTGATTGGTTTAACCCACTGACTACCAAGCCCATTAACCCTTGCATTTGCCCAGATACCACGTATTTTAGTGTGTACTAAAAATGCCATAGCTTCAAAACTATTTGACATAATCTCACAATATTTTGTATTTTTGCTCTGAATTGAATAAAGAACAAATTTCGAGGAAAAAACGTTGTTTATTCTGTTTTGCATCATCATCATGTGGCTGTAGATTGGTGCAAAAAAGGCAACTGAAAAATCTTTTATATGACAACAACATAGACCAATAAAAACGTTATATTTTCAAAAATTTTCAACAAACATTTATTATATTTGTATTTTTACACAAAATTGAACCGAGAACACATTTGAAGAACAAAAATGGGGTTTATTTTGTCTAAAATAATCATCATCATGTGGCTGTAGATTGTTGCAAAAAAAGCAACTAAAAAATCCTTTATTTGACAATACAGACCCAAAAAAATGTCACAGCTTATCAACTGTTCAAGATCACTCATACTATCTGATATTATTTGCACCGAATTGAATGAAGAACAAATTTCAAGGAAAAAAGTTGTTAGAATATGGGGTGCAATTGAATATCAATGCAACAAAACAGATGAAGATATGTAAAACTCAATTTGTCAAATATTACAGCCAAAATTTATCAGTGGTATGGTACAGTTCAAAGCATTGTTCAATACAAAGTGGCACCTGACATTCCCTGCATCAGTAACTTGTCATGGTCCCTTTGTGGCCTTTTTTTTCTGGATTTTTACATTTATCTTTCTGTACACATACTGTGCACCTTCTTCTGGGTTTTGAGTTTGAAGCTGTTGGTGAAAGTGGAGAAGCAAAGTGTCTGTCTGTCAGACGCTTCAAGGACACTACACTTTTTTTTGGAGTACAAGGTGTTGCTGCTCTCTTTTTGCTGAAATAATCCAAGGTAAGAGCTCTCCCCAGCTGTGAAATAAAATTCTGCAACTTCAGAGGTTGCTTTCCATTTTTCACTAATAGTTTCTGATGCAGCATGTGACTCTGAATAACAGTAAGAGTAAACAAATGACAAAATAATTTCCGCCACCATTTCAAAGAACGACGTGTAAGAGGGACATAAGCCAGCAACTGGTCACTGATGTCAACTCCTGACATATTATGGGAATAATAATTGATGGCTTCAGGTTTTATCTGCCTTCTAGTTCTAGTCTGAACTTCAATCATTGTGGAAGGATTGTGGACTGTGGTGATCAGACTGACTTCTCGTCTATCTTTCCACTTTAGTACAGCTAGGTTTCTCTGCCTTCTAAATGACGTCTCTCCTGGACTTAGTTTCTGAGCTGCTAAATCCTTAGGCATACCTTTTATGTTGCTACGAACAGTTCCAACTGACATAGTGCCATTCTGCAGTAGTCGATGTGACAGCTCAGGGCATGAATAATAATTATCCATGTAGCACCAGTAACCTTGATTTAGAAGTGGTTGCAGGAGCCTCATACAAACATCTACTGGCTTATTGCTAAGACCAGGCACATTGGCATACATTTCAAAGTCAAACACATATGAAGAGCTTGATTCACACAGTTCATTCACCTTTACACCCCATGGGTTGGGTTTATCCTTCATGTACACCTTGAAGCGAAGACGTCCTCTCCATGGGCACATGGCTTCATCAATACATATTTTTTTAGTTGGAGTGCACAATGATTTGAACAGCTTTCTCAAGTGTTCATAAAAAAATCGTATTTTATGTAATGGATCATGGTGAGGATCTGTAACAGGCAGCTGAAAAGCATTATTTGCAATATGAAATGCAGATAGGAGGAGCTGAAAACGCCTCCGTGACATGATGGTGGCAGCAAATGGTGAGTGGATAAATGGATGTATGCTCCAGTAGTCTGAAATAGACGGCTTTTTCACAACACTCATGTGAAGCAACAGTACAAGAAACCCTCTCACTTCATTTGGGGTTGTGTGTTTCCAGTTCTTGGCAAAACAGCTGTCTGATTTTACACCGATCTTTGCCTCAGCATAACGATTCGTTTCTTTCGCAAACACAGCAAGAATTTCTTTACTGAAGAAAATATTAAAAATATCCAGTGGTTCATTTGTTCCTTCTGGCAGAAATAAACCTGAAGTGCCAGTAAATGGGGGTACATCAGGAAAACCTTCCAAATCAAACTGCCAGTCGTCAACCAGTGGTGGGCGTGGCAAATCTTCCCCAGACTCGTCAGATGATGATGATTCTGAATCAAAAGTGGCAATTATATCTTCCTCATGTTCAGACTCAGGCACAAACTCTTCATAATCTATGGGCTCTGACTGAATACTTTCACAAGAACTATCAGTATCAGAAACTGCCGCAATACGACCACCACGAGTGTTCCGAGAATTTGACGCCATCATGAAAATTTCGTCAGTCTTATTGACACGGGAGCTAACTAAGAAAATTCGTCAAATTTGTACCTTGAGCACTACAAGGTTATTTACCTTAATTAATCATAGAGAAGTGGACAAGCTAAAGGCTGCAACTAAATTCATCACAAAAATCACGATTTTAACATGACGGCAAGCATCCAAAACTAAAATCGCAAGGGGTGTGACGTTGGCAACAGGAAGTAAACATCGCCTCGTCGCATTGCGTGCGACGATGGTAGTCAGTGGGTTAAACAAAAACTACAGGTCTAGACCTATATTCCCAATAAACATAATGGCATGGAAAAGAGACCTTTACTTACTTACCATGCTGCCACTGATATATGATTTATATTTTTTCAAATCTGCAGCCACTGTAGTATTTTAATGCATCTGTCTTAATTATAAGTTGTTGATCATGTCAGTTTGAGAAATTTGTATCTGCTCCTTCAAAATTCAGGTTGTGAATTGCACCAAACATGGCCACATTGATTAGTAATATTTGGTAATTAAGGTTAATTGTATACCCAGCTACTAATATTATAAGCAACAAATGAGCAACACACAAAAGTACATACTCACCCATGAAGTGCAGCTAATCCACAGCTGAGTAGAAATGCTTATCCATTTTTTACCACATTCACTTTTGCCCCCTTTTATTTCCCTTGTCTGTTCTGGGGCTCTATTGTAGGAAAAACAAGAATTGTCCCACTGCCTACCCAAAAGCATGTCGTAAGTGTAGACTAATTGGGAGCTTCCTTTAAAGTCTGAGTACATCTGTCTGAGAGGCAAGAAACCAACAGTCTGCATACAAATAAGTCAGATCTGTAAAATGGATGCGCACACAACTCAGGTTCTGGAACATGACTGTAGTCCAAAAGTGGACAAACAATTAGAACTTTCTGCTACAGTTTACAGCTTGTGAACGCAAAGAAGAAAAATACACATGTGCAGTTTGTTAGTTTGTTTAAACAACGGATCAACATCATGGCACAAGGGTGGTAACCCATAAGTGCTCCGTTCTACTTCTAACTCAAGCCTGAGTCTGAAGAATCTCAGCGCAGTGCATGAATTCCGTAGCACTGGCAAGGATCCTGAAATACTTTGGGTAGATTTTTAACTCCACATATGCAAATTATTATTACTGTAAGTTAGAACACACAGCAGCTAAGTTGGTAAGCCATTCAACTCATGGTTTGAAAGTTGTAGGCTCTGGGAATTGTTGCTAGACTATGGAGGTTGGGCTTGGTGCATCATTCTCGACAGGCGGCTGCTCATTGTGCAAAGAGAGATTGAGCCAAGTGCAAAGAAGTGGATACTTGTTACCTTAAACCAGGTTTAACTAATAGCTCATAAAGTGCTTACAGAAAACAGATGAGGTGGCAGCCATCTTAGATGTAGATTAGGTCATGTCACCTTGAAGCAGCATATTTGTGTGATTCCTATGTCCGCCTCATCCACTCACCTAATATGGTATACATATTGCCAGGCTCGTTGGCAGATAACCATAAGTGTTTACTTAAAAATAGTGAGTATGCAGCCATTTTTTAAAATGTTAATTAGGCCCATATTGCATTACATATATTTAAGAAATGCGTATACAGTTAGGTCTTACTTACCTGGTTGCAATCATATATAGTTGCTGTATATACTGGACTCTGCTGATTGTGCGGATAAAACCTCTTATGGCTCAACGGACGAAAAGGCAATTACCAGCAGGCTCTGTGGAGAGCTTCGAGCAAGGCAGGGCACTTAAGACGCCTTGGTCATCCACTGTACATAGGTCCATTTCCAATTGTCTCGACATTGTCCGGCCATTGGATCAAGATGGACACAGGTGAGAGAGTGGGGTCAACAAACTGCGCAAATCTTCCTCACTTGAATCCAAGTTCTTGCGCGAGTTGCTTTCATCCGATTTAGAAAAGAACAGTATCGCTAATCCCACACTTACTGTGGCATCCACCTGTTGTCCGTACTGCTTGAGACTTTTCCAGCCTAATATGAGACTAATCAGCCATCTTTGTACTGATAATCATTGATCATTACTACTTTGGATGAAAAGTGGTCTTCATCACTCGTGATGAATGAAAACAAAAATAGTTGCTAAAGGATTCGTTAAAAGCTATTGTTATAAAATGCAAACATTTAGTCCTTTCAGCCCTACATTTTACTGGGATGCAACTTAGAATCCATCTTTTGTCAGGTTACACTATAATTTGTCTTTGGTGTTATCCACCACTAAAATGTGATTAATGTCTCTTGCTTAGAATTGACTTACAGGCTTTATGAGGTATCATTTGATTGGATTTTTAATCTCTAGCTTTTATGGTCTCATAGGCTAAAACCCTGTATATTAAACTTCAGCAGCATTCCTAATATTATTAATAATAAAATAATTCGACATTGGGTTATGTAGAATAATTTAAACACTGCTCAAATTAAGTTAAATTAAACTTAAATTCTATCCTGCACAGTTTGTGGTGATCACTAACCATGCAGCCTGAAATCTGTAGGTTGAAGGAAACAACATATCCCCTTTCCCAATCTCTCACTACCCTAAGAAGTGGTAAATACAGTGACCTGACTTAATTTATTGTATATAATTTTAAATCATTTGTTTAGTTCTTTTTTTCAGGATACTCTTCATAATCTAGAACGTCAAATCTATGCCTTTGAGGGCAGCTATTTAGAAGACACACAGCTCTATGGAAATATTATCAAGGGATGGGACCGATATCTTACCAACACAAAGTTTGTGAAACTTTCATTTCACCTGTAATTTTGCTAGAATATGTCGTGTTTGGAGATTATGATAGACAGTAATCTTTGATTCTTTTGATCTCTTCTTTGCTGTGTGCCATCTAACCTATATCTTGATCAGGCATACTACTTTGTGATGGTGAAAATATCAGTCATTAGCCACAGGGAGAGCAACAAGCAATAACATGTTTAACTCTTTCGGCACCATTAGGTTTTTTACTTAAACTTACTATTAATATTGTTACTTAAACTACACTAAGAGGCAATAAATCAAATGGTTTGGACATGTGTCAAGACCACCACCAGACAGTGCACCACAGAGAGCCCTGTCACTTAGACATAATGGAAGCAGAGCCAGAGGTCCACCACGCAGGTGGTAAGTAGATGGAATATCCGAGGCCATAAATACCATGTACGTAGCAAATACCATGGCTCTAACCGGATACCTCTTCAAAACCTAACTCTGAAAGGCAATACAGGATTAGAGAAGAAGAAGAAGAATATGGTATTTGAAGCAGATAACAGTAACTTTACCAAACAGAAACACTGAACATATTACACTACTAGGATATGTATATTTAACAGAGAGATAAAAAATGGAATGAAAAAAAACCATTTCTAATAAAGTGTTACCAACAAACGCATGGTACGCTGCTTGGGACATGACAGTTAATAAAATAATTGCAAGAGTTTTCTTGTAATGGGTATGGTGAAATAATAAAAGCAATCAAAGTGGTATTGTGGTAGCTGCGATCAGGCATTTCAAGCATTATTTTGGTTTTGTTATATGCTTGGATTCCCCATGAGAAAAGAACAGTTATCTGAACTGCAAGGTGAACTGAGTCAAAATTGGTATTTTTGGATGTGAACGTGTCTGGTGAAATATTTATTGCATCACCATGCCTTGAAAGACTAATTATGAGAGGGGGGGGGGGGGTTGGTTGAGGTTTTGGAAGATATTCAACACTGAGGGGGAAACACAGGTGGACTTTCAACCAGGCTGCTCCCCGTGTGGGTTCCGGGGCCCTGTTATAGGAAAAACAAGAATAGACCCACTGCCTACCTAAAAGCATGTTGTAAGACTCGACTAATTGGGAACTTCAAAGTTGGAGTGCATCTGCCTGAGAGGCAAGGAACCAGCAGTCTACATACAAATGAGTCAGGTCTGTAAAACGGATGCATACACAACACTCAGGTTCTGGAACATGACTGCAGTCCAGAAGCGGATGAACAACCAGAATTTTCTGCCAGAGTTTACAGCTGGTGAACGTGAAGAAGAAGAAGAATCAGGCTGCAGCTAGTACTGTTAGCATGTCAACCCTTCCTTGGCTAATGAGGAAGGAGACTGAGGACATGTGGGAATATCCTGAGTGCAGTGATGTTGGTTCTTGATTAACTCATTCATGCACCCTATGTGCATCAAAACACAAGAAAAAAGTCTTACACACTTTTTAAAACTATATTTCCCATGTCCTTTGACTAAGTAGACACATATGGTAGACACTCATTGCTGTGGTCAGAAGAACTATGAACATATATTTAGATTAAAGCTGGCATCATCAGTATTAAAACTCAACATTGGCTGATGAAGGTGAGGATTTAGCATTTACGTGAATGCCCCAATGACCGATATATGTTATGATTGCGATAGAACTCAGATAAACCAATGACTATAAAGTTGTGTCCATTTTATTATTGTAAAAGTAAAGTAAAGGACCCTTATCCACGCTGTTAGGCATATTGGGCATATATGGCTAGACCTATATTTTATAGACGAATCAACACTCGGTGAGTGATGCAGTTAACATTAGTCCGGCTGCCTTTACTTCCCAGGACTGTACCTGGTACCCATTTAAGGCTGGGTTGACCTGGCAGCCAAGGTCATTTGAAATTAATTTTTTAAATTAACTAATAAACTGATAACGGATGCATGAGTTGGTTGTGAATAGCTACAGCAGCACATAAAATGACCAGTTGTTTTAAAAATTTTTTTACAATAATAGGGAAGTATGTTTTTCCTATCAGACATGCCAAAACATTTGTGTGACATGTTTGCATAAATAATTTGAACCCATTACATTTCGTAACATTTTTTGTTGCAGAAATACAAACAGCAAGGCAGACAAACGTAACCGAAAATTTAGAGATGCAGACCGCCTGTTCTCAAAATCCTCAGTGACATCAGCAGCTGTAAGTTTCACTGTAGCAATTAAAAAAGAATATTTGTGTTTTTTTTGGGGTTTTAAAAATACTTACCACATTTGGAAGCACCTGCAGCATATTTCAGATTGGATGCTTCTGATATTTGTTTTTATACATTTTTTTTTCACTCCCCTGTGCTATTTTTTCCCTCAGGTAATCACAGTTACAGCTGTAAAACAGATGGGTCACCCTGTAACTGTTTTACCCCTTTGCCAACGAAAACCACACAGAATGTTGATAACTTTCCCTTGTGAAAATACTGACATAGACTGCACACAAAACCTGGAATAAGACCAAGTCCAAATGTAGATGAACAGTCAGACCTTTCCGCTGGAGTTTAAAGTTGGTGAACATTACTATAGAAGACTTAGGTACCTATGGCTTAGCCAAGAATGTAATTTGTTTGTAATAATATTAAATAACATTGTTAATATTAATGCAGATATCTATGAGCTAACTTTTACCCATATTCTGTATTTCAGGCTGTCCAGGGTATTGCTGATTTAGAAAAAAGTAAGTTACAAGAAACTATGTCCACATTAAAAACTATTTTTGAACTTATTATAAGTGTCTATGTATCCTGATTACCTGATGTCATCATGTTATTTCTTCTTAATTATAGCCTGCACTTGAATTGACACACTTGACTTTAAAAAACCCTTAAGAGAATAACATTCTTCATCATTGTAAAAATGATTTCCTTTGAACAGTTTTTTTTCCCCTCCAAATTAAAGTTTACAGAAAATAATATAGTCTTATTAATCCAGATCTGGAGAATATGGAGGGAATGCAAGAATCTCAGTATTAACATCCTTGATTATTGACTTCAGATTGCTATGCTTCATGAGAGGATGTTTTTGAAACAAGGGAAGAGTTTGAGTTCATACTTTTCCCACGCTATTGATTTTTTTAATAGAAGAAATCAAAGAACATCATCGAAAGCAGACCTCAAGACACATGGATAAAATATACCCTAAACATTTGGGCTTGTAAACTAATGTCTAGCTATTGGGCTGCTTCAATTTTCTTTAATTGTGTGCTTATAAAATTGTCCATGTTCTGCTTGCCAATATATTTATCTTTTGTTTTTTGTACTACCGTAAAATGTATATTTATCTTTTTTTTTAACTCCATAAAATAGAAGAACCACCAAGTCCGGAGCCTAATATTACAACACCGGCAACTCATACCAATGGTGTCAGCTCCCCTGCAGACAGTACAGCCAGCAGTGGCAACCATATACCATTAAATACAAGCTTTTCTGGGAAAGTGGTTAAATCTGCCAGCTTAAAACATAAAAAGACAGCAAAGAGTAAAGCGAGGGGAAGGTAAGTTTTGAGCTTACAGTTTGTAATTAAAATTATATCCTTGCGAACTTTTAATTTTAGTATTTAACCGTGTCCCCCGAGAAGACTAAATCTCATCACTTTCAGTTGTGACACAGTCCTGTAAATGCTGATATATTGACCTGTCTGCAGTGACCTGCTCTTAAAATACAAAGTTAAATTCCATTGGTTCTGTATGCACCTGCACAGCATTTATTAGGGCAGGATATGAACATAATAACTAAAAATAGCATTCTTTATGACACTAGTGACATTTTTAAAGCCAAGTTGATGTCAGATTCTCCGTATGTCTCAATGTTAGAGGTCAAGTGGTCACAGCATAAGTCACTGACACATCCTTGTTATTTTTTTAAGGCCCAAGTGAATGTATTCCATATAATCTTTAACTCTGGTCATGTTTATATATCTTTATGTTTAAGGAAATAAAGTAAACACATTTTAAAATTTTAAATGTATTTTTTCTTAAAGATTTTTGCCTGGCATTCCCAATAGTTAAAGCATTTGCAGAGCAAAAGGGTTTAATAGCTATATTAAAATGACACTTGTGTCAGTGTTCTCCTTTTGTTAGTATGCTTTGTGCTGCTGGGTGTTGCAGCGTAATAGTTAGCCGTGCTAGGTCACGCTCAATGACTCGTTTAGTCCATCTTCTTCTAGGTCTCTGCCTTTTGATGTTTTCATTTTCATGTTGTGCACTTTTGCTGCTGGCATGGTTGGATTCTTTCTCATTAGGTGGCTGAACCATTTTAGTCTTTGGTTCTCAATGAATTAAAAATGAACATTGTTTCAGTAGTTCTTCTAAAGTCTTCATTTCTAACATTTCTTTTGTTCACAGCCTTTCTCAAACATCTCATTTCCTCCTCCTTCTTTGTTCACTAGCTGTAAGCTCTGACAAAAAGTCCAGGTTTTTATTCCATTTAGACTGTGGCTTTGTGCCAGCGCCTGAGTTGCTTGTACATCTGTTTTACTGGCTTATTTATGTGCAGTTGGTTGTTCCTTGCCGCTTGGGCAGATGTACTCCGGCTCGGAATGAAGCTTCCAATCAGTCAACTCCTACAACATGCTTTGTTTGGGTAGGCAGGTCTATTCTTGTTTTCCCCACAATGAGGCCAGGAACCTATTCATATCTTGGGTCATTTCAAAGTACTTAAGGCAGTTCTCAATTCTGTATTTAGTGTCACTCGAATTTGCATCATGTGATAACAGTTTTATGATTATTGTAGGTCAGATATGAATAACATATTTTTGGTTTTAGGAATGGGTAAATGACAAAATTGGACCAATTTTAAGTGCTGCAGTTATCTTTTGTAAGCTGTGATTAATTATATTGACAATGGTTTTGTAAATTACATGGCAATTTGTATTAATATCCAGATCCGGCAGAAAATTCAAAATTTGCAAAGAATGTTTACTGAGTAGATTATTTATCAGATTTAAAAATATGGAAGAGAGATGAGCCATTCATTGATTTTTCTCATTGTTTGTTTACTGCAGTTTAATTCATTTCTGTATGTGAAAATAAAAAAAGGAAGGTTAAATACCCTAAAGCTAGAGCAACTGACCCCATTGGTATTGTAACTTTATGCCAGCTGCTGAAATGGGGACAGAGCCCCAATGGGAATGAACCTGAGTGCTGTCGGATCCCTGAAGTCATCTCAACTCAACTCAGTTACAGTGGACATTCTTATTCAATTTTTAATCATGTATTTATCTTTCTAGGTCTGAAGGCAAACAGAAAAAAGGAAAAGACTCACACAGCTGTAAGTGCCTAAAATATCATGTACCTTTATGCTTATTAGTATTGTTGCCTTTTGGGGGGAAAAAAAGGGGGGGGGGGGGGGGGGAAAGGGTGTTTGGTTGTTTTTATGTTATTCATACACATACTGGAGGGAAAATCAACACATTTATTCCTCTAGAATAAGTTTAATTCATTCAGTACCAGACTACGTGCTGTAGTAACTTCTTGCATGCTGCTCTTTTCTTCAAGTTTGTGTGCCTCGTTGTCTTGTTACATTATATACTCCTTAACATTACTTTAGCTCTTTCAGTTCCATATAATTTTTATTTTTATTACTTTCAGCACAACGTTGATTAATGTAAACTTAACAAATTCTTCAGATAAAGGGAGTTAAAGTAACAACTTTCTGGGGATAAAAGTCAAGGATAGCGACAGAAGCCAAATTTATGGTAGTGTAAGATAAAGTTTACCCTTGTGTTACGGGGGCCCTCATGGGAAGCAAAGAATAGTAAAACTGCATTCTACCTGGAATGTCATAAGAGGCAACTAGGATCGGATTGCAGTTGGGGTTGGCTACCTCATCCCATGTTTAAAAAAAAAAATTTTATAGTCAGAAAAACTAGAAAAACTTACCATCATCATCATTTTTAGTCAGCACGTCCTTTACAGAAAATTCCCTATCATCACAAACTGCTTGAAAATCTTTCTTACTCTAGCCATTTCTTCAGCCCTGTTTGCTTTCTTAGCCAGTGCATCTTCACTGTCTTCTATTCGCCTTTGAGAAAAGGCCGACCTGTGCCTTGATTTCTGGAAAGTACCTAAACTTTCTGGATCGGATGCTGTTTATGAGCCAGTTCTCATCAGTGCTCAGATAATTTAGGATGTCTTCCTTTTTCTTGGTCCACTGTATTCTAAGAATTGTTATGTAGCATTTCAAAGGGTTTGTAAGGGTTCATGGCTCACATCCATAGGTTTGCCATGAGAAAGATGTGTGATCTCAAAAGTGTTTACTTTGACCAGCTTGCAGATGCTGTTCCATACAACCAGCCACAAAAAATGTATAAAAAAGAATTTGATGACTTGGCATAAATCGGTTGAGGGCCTGGGCTTTATTGTGGGATGAAGGGCAGAAGAACATAAAGGAGAGTTAGCACATAGCAGATACTGCAATTGAAGTAATCATTTCTAGATCTTTGCTTTTCTTTCTATCAGATGAAATAGGGTGCCAGTTCCCCTCCTTGTTTTGAAAATTGTTTAGGCACCACTCTTTTGCGTTTACCAGCTGTAAACTGGTGGAAAGTTTTGCCTGTTCGTCCACTTTTGGACTTTAATCTTGTTCTAGAACTGGAGTTTTGTGTGTATAACCATTTTACTGATCTAGCTTATTTCGATGCAAACTGTTGTTTCCTTGCCGCTCAGGCAGAAGCACTCCTGCTCAAAAGAAACCTTAGTTGACTCTTAGGAAAGCAGTGTGTCCATCCACACAACAGGCAACAGAACCTGAGATTGGTTTGGAAAGTCTTGATGAGGATGTGTGAGTTCCAAAGCCCCAGTTTGAGGGGAAAGAAACAGACCCACTGCACCATAACAAGCAAGTTATAAAAGCCAACTAAATACAGGTGTTTTCTTCAAAGTTTGAGAGGTGAGGAACCAACAGTCTGCAAACAAATCAGCAAGCTCTGTTAAAGGGATGTGCATGCAAAACTCAAGTTCTGGATCAGGACCAAAGTCCAAAAGTGGATGAGCAGCCAGAATTTTCCGCTAGAGTTTACAGCAGGTGACGAAGAAAAAATTCATTTCGAGAATTTTTTTTTCAAAATTAACCTTGGCTTGCAAGTTGACCCAGCTTAAAATAGTCACCAGATTATGCCCTGAGAAGTAAAGGCTGTCGGTGTGAGGTTGACCACAACACCAATATGGTGTAGATTTGTCTATAAAAAAATTAGGTATAGCTGTAAATACCATATGTGCCAAAGGCTGGAAATGGCCCGTTTGAGGGTTAGTTTTGGAAAAAAGAAAATTGCGTTGGTGTAAATTCAAACCCAAGACATTCGAGCAGGCAGGCAAGCATTCAGCTGCTTCTTGTACAAGTGGTTATTTGCATATCTCCCCCCACTTGGATTATACTTTTGGGCTTAATTTAAACACTTCCTATTTATTATACAGTGTTTTTTATTATGTGCACTAAAATGGTGAAACAATTATTTGAGTTCCATTGTCAAATTGTCATTTTTGTTTTAAAGTTCATGATATACTTAAAATTATGTATAATTTATTTTAACATTAATTTGTTTGTTGCTCTCTCTTCCCTACAGAGTACTGTGATTTGTCATCTGCGTACAAATCTGTCGTCCACTGTGTATATAATTACAAGGAAATACAAACTGAACAAATTTTTAATGTGATTTTGGTGTAACCACAAAACATGAAATGCATTGTAATAGACAAGTGGTTCCCAAATAGCCAAGACATCATCATCCTCATCTTCATCCGTTAACACTGCACGTCACTGGGTCACCAGTAACTGCTGACTGTGTGATCAGCTCCCTTCACCTTTGGCGGTCAGCTCCCTTCACCTTTGGCGGTCAGATACAATTGGACTTCATGGTTGCATGCCTTAAGCCTGTCCAGTCAGTCTAGCACTTTATCCAGGTTTGTCTTGGTTTGCCTGTTTTCCTCTACTGAGCCCTTATTACATGTCCCTACAATTGCATTTTCTGCCTTTACAATGAAGTTAATAGAGGTTCCCAGTTGCCAGTAAGCACATTCGTGATGTGGTCTCTAAATGATGTGCCAAGAATTTTTCTGAAAGATCACATTTCCAATACTTCTTTTGAGTTCATGTGGGCCTAGGGCATGTGGACGTCTCTTATTCTTGGTGGGTGTTTAGAGTTAGGATAGATTTTCTGCACCATATTTGTGGGAAAATAGTAGTATACCATAAGGTTGATAAAGGTGGAACATGCCATCATATTTCCAAAGAATAATATCTTCATTGTGTATACTGTTTCGTTGGAGATAATTGATTTTCTGTTGAGTAACAAATTAGTGGGATTGTATTATTGTAGATGTTGTAAAGGGTATGAAATGTCAAACCATTACACTTATTTTGTCCTTGAACAATAAGGCAAAGAGTCCAGCTCCCATTTTCACCATACTTCCTTTAACAAATTCTGAAACTTTCTGGTGGCAGTTTTCTGAGGCTAGGTCTGCCGCTGGCTCAGAGGTCTTCGATTCAGTTTCAAGC